TCTCATTCTGAGACAGCGCACATCTTTTCACGCGTTTAGCAGGTACGTAATCTGATAAGCTCGACATTTTACCCAAACAATATTATATCCACTGGCACAATAGTCACTAAACACAAGTCGAATTTTACTCTACTGCACTAGCACGTCTTCGTATATTCAGCTCTAAGACTGGATTGATCTGTCACAATACACTGGCTCCTGCCCTATGATGTATCCAGTAAAATATACTAATGTACACCCATTACCTGTTAGCATTAGTGTTACCCGATAATTACCTGAAACGAAATATTACCACGCCAATGGCCGGTTCTTATCTCGGCGTTTTATCACTCTCTTTCAGTTCCAAACAGACTATAGTAATACTTATTGCTGAGATATATTGTGAGAACTTACCTAATTATAAGTCTCACCAATTTTTACTTAAATATTCACTTTCAAGTTATTAAAAAATATCATTATTTTTTTGGAATCCGTATTACCTTATATCACGAAAATGAAGCATTTCCAGCCCTATATTGTTATAAATAAGTAATATTTCGACCATGTCTTCAAAGTTTGTCGACTTAATCCTGCAACACCCGTATATATTTTTTTGTAATGCCTGGTTTTGAAACGAAGTTGCATAAAAAATAGTTTGAGTTAAAAAATAACATTGTGAGAAATTAACAAAATTTATGTATATATTTGTAAAATATCATAAAATATTCACTTATTTTATTTACTAGGTACTTTTCATATACTTCAATATCTGGATATTAAAAGTTCTTTGTCAGAAGCTGTTCGTACATATTGTGTATGGCAGCTATGTATTATTGTAGGGAATGGATTGATTACTACTGTCACTCTCGACATATATCTTAAGAAATAAAACTTCTTAGATAAAAGACGGAATTTAATTTTGTGCTCTCTAAGAACATTTGAAGGAGTTTCTTTGGTATTTATATTATCTACTGTGTACCTTAATTAAAAGACATTAATATTTAATGCAACGAAAATGTATTTTCTAGATAAAAGATGTACATAGCATAGCATAGCCTACATTATACACATAATAGCTATGAGCTTTTTACTTAAAACTATTGTTAAAAACTAATATTTTATTTACTTTTAAAATTAAAGATTTAGGTAAAACTGATTAAAATAACTTTAATTTTACTTTTACGACCTGAATACAACTACTGCTTATTAGTCAATGCCGGCTCCTATGCCACCCATCGATGAACTCATACTTTGTTTTATAACCATTTGTGATTTACAATCATCGATCGAGTAGCAAGGAACCGCGCATGCAAATTAAATAAACTTTATCGATTCCCTCCTCATGGTTTTTACATTATATATTTTTTCCTGTAATCACATTATTTGCTTAAAATAATGAAATACTAAAATGTAAATAAACCTATAAAGGTATATGTATCCTTTACATTAGCCAAGAAAGTTGAAAGAAAACTCATATAATACAAACAATATATTATACAACCAATTGTCAGTTACAAGAAATAGTTAATTTTTAATATATGTTTTGAAATATTTTTTCTTCTTCATCATGTTCTCTAGAGTTTTTGAAATAGTGGCATGTTTTCCAAGGTTTTAACTACATGAAAATATGTTATTTTTTCTTATTCATTATTAGAATATTTTAGTCTATTGCAGTGCCAATCACTTTCGCATTTTTATGAGTATAACTTCTTCAGTGTTGCCAGATTTATTCACTAAACTGACAGAGCTAATAGCTAGAATTTGTTGTAATATAATTATTGGCAAGTTTTTAAATTCATCTATGAAAAATGCACATCCTTCAAATTATTTATCTCTCTCCTTTTAACTCCACGTATTTGAAGCATATATACACATATTTGGGTAGATGTATATTATCCATCGATGATGGAACTTACCCAATTCTATTGGTAAATTAAAAATAATGTATAATTAATTAATATTATTATTATTAAAATTTTCAATTATATGCTTTTAACTAGTATTTTAAGTGTATACATTCTTTATACATGTACATTTTACAATCGTCTAGTTTGTGACAAATCCCTCAATCGGGAAATAATGGTTTCGTTCTGTTTCCTTCAATTGTTATAGGCTGTAGGACGTCTAGCAGAGACGCAGACCCATTTGATTTATATCTACTTAAACAATTGGTGCAAACATTGTCACTTATTGTTAGTGACTTCATATGTGTAAAATAAAAAATCAAGCCAAAATAAGAAAAATACCATAACTTCAAATTAATTATTTCCTTCATTTTAAAGAAAAAAATGTGTTTTTAAGAAATTCCAATTTGTTTGCGGTTGTAGTAAAATTAATTGAGAAATGTGAATTTAGTATGAGTGTACTGGTTACAATTAACAATTAGGATCCATACCCATGCTTTCATCAGGTTACGGCTATCCCCAAATTTGGGATATCTGACCCATTTATCTCTAACCTAACTCGTTACGCGTTATGATATCCTAATTTATATGTTTGATAATTATATATATTTCCGCACTTTCTTCATCCATTTACCACAATAGTCAGTCCATAGATAATGACTTTATTTATAATTTGTTCACGATCTAGAACACGTTTAACGTAAGTCAATTTTTTTTTTGTATTATTCTTGATGGCATTTATCTTCTAAATATATAAATTTTTTGTAATAATTTATTATTACTACATTTTACGTTGCTTTTATTTATTTAGCAATTTTCCTGAGGCAGGAACAGGAAAATAAATATTTTCATTTTCTAGCTACAAGCTCTTTCAACGTTTCCATAGAATACAACTTTTTTCAGCTTAAATTTCCTGAGTCTTATGTCATATGTTATAATACAAAAAAAAAAACAGTTCTATTGCTAGAAATACAATGTTTTTGAGAATTATGCAATACAATATGCTACCTCAAAAACCAAAATGAATTAACCTAATTCCAGTGGAATATATTCTTCTTTTGATAAAGGTAGTGTCAAAATTAGATTTTAGAAAATAATCTTTGACTTCACTGCATCTCAAAAACGAAAGATATAATAGACCTATATCGGATAGGAAGAAAAAATATCTTAATTTTTGATATTTTACCAACTCCTGAATTTATGGAACTATACTATAAAACACTCTGTCTTTCTGCAACTTGTTTAAAACGTAAAATCCAACGAAAAGTTTTATTACTTCCTCAGTCCTGTTTTATTGTTATTCTTTTTACAGAGGAAATATCAGGAATCTTCGTCAAGAGCATAAGCATAGGAAGTGCGGCAGATTTGACGAATAATATCAAAATTAACGATAGAATTGTAGAGGTAAGTTCGATGTTAATTTGTGAATCATTACATTTAATACTCGTATTCAAAGCGTACCATGTGCATTGTATTATCTACTCGTAATCGGAATGAGTTGAGTTATTTGTGTTTATAAAGGTTACTTTCACATCACCAACTCTCGAGATAAAACTACAGGGAAAAATACCTAATGTAGATAATAGTTACTTGTGTGTTTGGCATCATCTTGTTAGTGAATTCATCTGGATGACTGATACAGTCGTTCATTCGTAAAGATCCTTTGCTCTTTTGTAATTCATTGAAAATTTGTTAGAATAGTAAATTTGGCTTCTAAATCGGTGATAGAATACACGTGTACTTATTACTTTCTGTGTTGTGTCCTCAGATCCTCAGAATACAGGTGTATGAACTAAAAATTTAAAAAACACGTAAATAATAACACAAGTTTTTATGACACATTTGCAGAAATTCATTCATCAAAGAAGTATTTTTGTTAGTATCTTTATCATACCTATATTCTCTTCGGTACTTAAATTAGTATTAACTGCTTCTGTGAAAAATATCACCAATATTTTAAAGCCCTAAAGAGCTTAAATAGATCTAAGGTACTGATTAAAACATTTATTTGTAGTTTTCGCAATGATTAAACAAGTTAATGTTAATAATACTATAAATATTGTATTTCCTTTAACTTAAATATATTTATTTTTAAATATTTCCATTTTTGTAAATTTAACGAACCTAATTAAAGATGAGTTAGCAAATAATAATGCTTCAAAAGGATACTCAAATGTGAAAGTTTTTTAACAATAGATGAGACAAAGGCAAAATTGCAAACCGTGCTCAAGACGATACCTAACTCATTAGGTATCGTCAGCATTCCATCAGTGTTTCTCAAACTGGAAATTACATTGGCATAACTGTAAGTCCTCAACTACTTTGAATGGGATGGGCTAAAAGTGGGCTTAAATAAATACTTTCTAATTAACAATTCCCAATACTTTTTGATCGAACCTCGTATATTCAAATCCTGCATGCTACACTTGAACTGTGTTTCAAGTATTATCCTAATCTTTAATCTTTTTAATCGGAGATTGACATAATTTAATAATTGTTTACAAAAAATCCCTTGAGCAAGAGAAAAGTCACGGTAAAGTATCAGTTAAAAAAAACAACATTAAAGTTATGTAATCCCGTTAATATACGGAGTCCAGGAAATGATGGGAAATATGTCGTATTTGGATAAGCCCTGAAAAATCACCGTGACAAGTTTATAAAAAATTTTTTATTCGGATTTACCTTTTGGAGTTATTAACTTTTGAAGTTGACTGTTAAAAATAGATTTTTCGTTGTAACTTGTAATGCAATTTACCAATACCTGCTTTGGGAGCGTCAAAAACTCTTTATGGTGAACCGGAATAAACAACAAATGTATAAACTTGTGACATTATTTTGGCAAGTATTGCCTAAAACCCAGAGATTGGCCACTATTTTCTGGAGATCCTGTATATTAACTTTTCAAAAAAAAAGTACCGTAGTAAGTACCGTTATTTTTGTGAAAATCACCTCATTATTTATTTGATGATCCGACACCCTATCTGTAGAAAGCTGTACAAGCAGAACATTGCTTGTTCATTAAAGACATTTACAATTAAATCGGTTGCTTCAATCGGTACAGAAGGATGCAAATCACCGAAGGCAAACAAACAAACAAACAAACACCACATAACCTGGTCTTAATTTGGATCTAGGTAGGTGCTCCGAAAAAACAAAACCTTAGATCAAAGGCTTTGACGCGGAGTGACCCAGCCCATTCCCTTTAAACCGAGGTGTTCTGGAAGTTTCCCTTTATTGTAGGTACATAGGACGGACGATTCACGCAAGAAGTTCATTAGAAATTTCTGTGAGTGAACACGTTATAATAAATAGAGGCAAACACTTGCTAATTTTGATAATATTGGAAGGACTTTATACAGGGTGATTCAGTCATAATGTCGGTAATTTTAAGGAAAGATAGAGAAAAATGAGTGGAAAGCGTGATTACTATAAAAATTTTAAAATGTATATTTGCGCTGAAAAAAATATTGACGCACAAAGGTTTATCGGGAGTAAATCTTTACCTAGCGTATTATTTGGTCACTAACCTAGTTTTTACTGCGAATTTAGTATGTGATGAATAACAGGTCTTTTACCTAGACCACAGGTTAGATATGTGCCTAGACACAGAAATGAATAAGATATTTAAATATTAAGGAGTATTATTTATATCTTATTAAAAACAAATGTATAAGGACAAGGGCGTAAGTAGCTACAACTTTTGCTTGAAGATGATAGTATTAGATATTTTTCTAGGGTGGGCATCGGGCTCTCTAGGGTGGGCCGTGCACACTCTTGCTCCCTCCCCATAGCTACGCCCATGTATAGGGATAATAACTGTTTTCGAATGTTGGGTTATTACAATAATATAGTATTTTTAATATTTGTTAAGATTTTCACTATGTTTTATAATTGAATAAGAGTTTTTAGTATGATCTTCAATTAATTATTCAGATTGTAGTACGTATACTTATTGACTTAATGCTTTTCTAAGAGTAGAATAGTGCCTACCTATTTAAAATACCAGTGTGACTAAAACAACACTCATCCATCCATAGAACTTTGTTAATAAAGTTGGGATCCGCTGCAGTTTGATTTTGAAACAAATTGCAAAATTGCGACTCACAATGGGAAATATTGGAAAAAATTCTCGCCACTCACCAATTTTCATCGTCTCGTCGTGATTTTTTTTTTAATAATCTCGTTGTAATCTGAATTTTCATATTCTGGTGAGGTTTTTTCGAAAAACCCTTTTTTTTAATGCTTAGGGAGCGCCCCAACCTCAATGTCGAAGAAATTTTTTTTAAATACTCGATGTTCAGTTGTAGAAAAAAATGATTAAAAAGTATCTGCTATTAATAAAATTGTTTATTATGACCCTTGATGATATATTTTGAGGTTAGGTTTTTGAAGAAAAAACATCAGATATATCATCAAGGGTCATAATAATCAATTTTATTAATAGCAGATAATTTTTAAATATTTTTTTCTACAACTGAACATCGTTAAAAAATTTTTCTTCGACATTGAGGTTGGGGCGCTCCCTAAGCATTAAAAAAAGAGTTTTTCGAAAAAACCTCACCAGAATATGAAAATTCAGATTACCACGAGATTATTAAAAAAAAAACATGACGAGACGATGAAAATTGGCGAGTGGCGAGAATTTTTTCCAATATTTCCCACTGTGCGACTGGGGAAATCAGCTGTTTCGCTTCAACGTTCGCCACTCTCTGGTTCACCGCGTTGAGAAAATGTGATGCGAAGTATGACATGAAGGGGAATTTGCTTATTTTTAAAAGGTCGAATAAACATTTTCCATTTTCTGTCTTTATAAGTTCTCCCGAATACGTGGTTAAAATTAATGACATTATAACTGCATCACCATGTATTACCTAAAATCATTTTAGAGATATTACAGTTTCTTTTGATTATGAAAAGNAAGATCAAGATTATACTAAAATATAACATTCTTTTTCACGGGATGGTGACTGGATTTTCATAGGATTTTATTTAACCGATAAGCGATCGAATTATCTCGAGCATAGACGTAACGGTTTGTCATTGTTCATTGTAAACGAATCATTAATATTAGTGACGCTAAGATTTGGGAATTTTTAGTTGACAGTACCAGCCGTGCAATGTTGGTTGCCTAAGCTTGATGGTCACGTGGCTTGTTATCATTTATGAAGGCTATTATGTGTATACGGAAGTAAAGCTATGGATAATCCATACGAAAGAGACATTGTTTCTTGTTTAAGGCGAAAATGTTATTTTCATTCCTTAATAGAGAAATGAATATGTCAAATTTATATGTTTCTTAGTTAAAACAGTAAACCAGCAGAAGTTACAAGAACTTTGAACTGTCTTTTGATCTGATTGTGAGTATTTCGCGGATAAGATGAGTTTGGTCAAGATGTACTTCTGTGGATTGCGCAACCCAAGATATTTAACAGTTTGGTATTTAGCAAAGACTGGATTGGATTGGCTGAGCAGAACACTTTCCATCATAGTCGCTAAGAGGCAGTCCATTAGGTGTTCTTGTTTCGTCCTCTGTAATAAAAAATTAAAATTTATTGATTTTTGTATTTCTTGTTAGAATTTCTATATAAGGTGACATTCACAATGGCTGTAAGCTCTTAAATTTCTAGAGAACACTTGATTATGTCCCTAGATTTTTTAGCTGATATTATTTTGAAACATCCAACATAATTTATCTCCATAAGTAGACCTATTACATAGTTGATACTAATTCTTTTATTTATGTAAATTTTTCTTCTGGTTCCATAGTTTCATTTGTTTAGGTACTAATGTTTTATATATCTATGCCATTCACTATTTTATTGACTAACGATTTTTAAAAAAATTCCAAAATTTGTTGGTCTTTTGAACAGTCCTCACGTTTTTGTGGCCTATTAGCTTCCAATTTTAAAGGATGTAGTTTATTTTTGGAATGATCTGTATATTTTAAACATATTTACTGTATTCTAAGTTTACTGTTATTATTTTTTTGTAGAATATCTAGATTTTTATTTTACAAATGCTATGATAAAACATTTATATTGAAACATTTAGATACTTCAGTTTTATGTGACAGAGAAAAATTTAAATTTAAATTTTCATTCAAACCTTTCTGGCACCACTCAACTAATTTTGATTGCAGGTAGATGGGATATCTGTGATAGGCTTTACCAATCATCAGGCAGTCGAACTGTTGCGGAACACGGGCCCTTTAGTAACAATAAAAGTGGAAAGGTACCTCCGAGGCCCCAAATATGAGCAGTTACAGCAGGCCATCAGGGCAAACGAATTGAGGCCACCTTCTCCTTCATCGCCGACCATTTCATCGCTGCCCAAAGTGCCGCTCAGTTTGGTGGTAATTACATTTTTTGTCTTATCCCTCTAAAATATATTTCAATTTGAAATGAATATAAATGTGATAGGGGCCACAAAAGAAAGCCAATTACACAGTTTAGAAGTATAAGTTGTATCTGCATATTTTTTTTTTTTGATCTAATTGAATTTTGCGGAAAAGAAAGTATAGATGTCGATGTCTTCCTTGTTTCCTATTTTAAAACAGTTTAGTTCCAAATGTATTTAAATTATTTTCTCACTTTATAACTTGTCAAATTCGTTATCTTATCCTCACATTTGGGTAAGCTGAATCTACAAGATCTGGAAGAGTATTCTTTAAAAAAATGCTACTTTCCACGATATAAAAATAGTCACTATAGAGGATTTAGAACTTACTCGATACGATAAATTGTTAAGTAAAATGCCTTTATGAAAAGAATGGTACGCTCAAAAGAAATCTTCGTAATTTGACAATTCGTCATCTTACTTGATGTGTCATCTTGCACTCCAATTTCCTACAGATGCAGACTGTATAAAAGTATGTGCGACAATCTTTTGGAGACGATTTTTAGTGACGTTTTTTACTGGAGCAATTCTACAGGGTATAATTGTGTGATGTTGCGACGAAACTTCTCGTCAAAACAACATTTCTAAGAGTTCTACCACAGACAATAGCTATCGCTCCAGACAGTGCCTGGAATAGGAGAGCAGTTTTAAACTTCCGAATTGTCGAAAGCGTATACCACTAGAAGAATTTTAGGAAGCATTCTTAGACAATACATATGTGTTATCCTAGTAACGTATAAACAACAGTTGGCCAATGTTGTCACGCGTACGCACGGATTTATTTTGTATATTTTTTTTATCAATGCCTATTTTTTGTGTTACTGTATTTACTTACTTAAATGTACGATGTATGGTCTCCCCCACACCCGTGGTTTTGATTGTCCATTCAAAAAAAATTGCGTACTACAGTCAAAAATTGCAACAGCAGTAACGATTTTTGACTAACTTTTTTGTTTGCTATCTCTGTAAGGTATCGAAGAGATTATTGATGGATGATTTTTTTACTTTTTTTTTAAAGTGTTTGCATACAACCACACCTTGAGGTTCCAACAATGATATTAAATAATTCCAAGGCAAATTCATATAAAGTAAATATCTAATTAATTAGGTAAACTCATAGTTTTAATTCTAACTTGATTTATTTTATTGAGCATTTCAAAGAAATGTCGATTCCAAACAAAAGATAAGCTTCATATAACTCTTCAAATACATAGTTAAATGCATTAAATTTATGTGTATACCCAGTTATTACTAGGCAACACTGCCTCATCTGGAAACCGCTAGGTCTGCCACCTATTATCGAGTAGAAGAGTTACCAGGTTAAATTTCATTGTTGGATACCAGCTCATAAGAGCCTGTATCCTTTTTGTGTTGCCAATTCCCAGCATTTAACATACGGTCTGGAGGGATAAGCTATTTTGTTTGTGATTCTACAGTCCCTCAGCGATTGAAAATGAAACAATTTTTGTTCAATTACTCGAAACCATTGAATATATAAATTTCAAATTTTGACTTGAGAGAGAATATTTTCCAGATTTAGATAGATTTAGATAACTAATTAGTTTTTGTTTGAAATATACAAGTATGTAGGTAGGAGATACTATACATGTTATGAAACCTAGGGGAATGTATAGGAATTTTAAAAAGACAAACTTCAATAGAGCTCACTTAACTAACTTCCGAAAACAACCTATTAATAAAATTAACTATTTCTAAGATACAGCGTGTTTTGTCTTCTTTAACTGGAACTGCAATCTACTATAACTTAGGAACCGCTTGAATGAAACTGAAACAAAAATCCATTGTCAGCGGCCATCGTTGAACCGTCATAGCTCCCTTTGATTAATTTTTTCATGCTTTCATGTACAGAATCATTCCTCAAGTTTATGCGTATAGGTTTAGAATCACCCCTTATAGGTTATAGTGATTAATAAAGGTAAAAATTAGTCTTAAGAAAAAATAGATCGCAAGATGTTTAATTTTTCATAGATTTGACTCTTCGCTAGCCAGTGTGAAAGCGGGTGCTGCCATGTAACAAGATGATTAATGATTTAGGCTTCTAAAGTTTTGCCGGAGTAGGGTAAAGGACACAATACTCTTCAAATGTATGAAGTTTGTAAGACTATATAAACACAGAATGATTCATGAACCGTATGAGGATGAAGGAAAAATAACGTTTAGTAGAAAATTGAACAGCGAATATTTTTATTTTTGAAATTAATAATTTATAGTGTTTAATATTGCACTTAAGCCTTGTTTTGAATTGATTGTTATATTTAACTAATTAAAAAGAAATTTTAACGTTTCGTTATATGTATTAAGGGGTTACATTGGTTTTGTAGGTAAAAAAGTATATTTTCTCTAATTTTTTTTAAATATAATAGAATTATTTTATGCAAACTTTTAAGCAACATTTAAATAATATTTTACAAAATTTTCATTTAAAATTTTGAAAATTCATCCGTTGGGACCTGGGACCTGTTTTTTGAAAGTACCTTTCAACTTTTCACTCATAATTTTTCATTCCATATTATTAAAAAAATTAGGAATAATTCTGTTTTACAAAAAATGTCTGGAACATTTTTGGTTTAATGAATCATAAGCAGACTAAAAAAGAAGGTGACGAGCAACTTATAAAAAGAAGAATTCTGAAGAGAATACATTTTGAAGGTATGAATGATTATCACTTAAATATATATGTACAGGATGTATCTAAAATACTTGTCTAGGCTCTTTACTTTTCAACATTTTGCTCTCACTATTCAAACCATAAAAATCATAAAACTGTGAAAAGTGATGAATGAATGTTGAAAAGTACTTTCAAAAATCAGGCCCCTGGTTTTCAAAGATCCCCTAGAAAAAGGCATAAATCATTATAGCTTTATCCGAAATCAAAAAACCAACTATTTTCTATTAGTAAGTGAGTATAGCTCGTGATTGAACGAAGGATTTAAAAAAAATTAAATTGAATTTTTGGCAGAGTTGTATGCAAAACTATTGCCTTGTAAGTTGCGATCAAAGAAAAAAATCTTCGTTCATTCGTTCAATCACTAGTCAATCCTATCTACAAAAAGTTTGCAAAATTTCAATAAAACCAGTGCTTTTTGAGAAATCATGTCCACCGTCTTCAAAAATAGAATTTTGAGAAAGAAGTGAGTAGGAATATAATGCAGGTTTTTTTTAACTTACATAGAATCGTCAATTCCAGCTCCATAAGACTAAAATATTCAGAGAAACGAGCGAGAAAGACAGACAAACAATAGCTAAGCACCTAAGCAGCTGCTTAGTGCCTGTGACGTCCCCGGCCGACCGAGCCTAATGAGAGAAATTTCCAAAAGGTTCTCTCTGCTAGAGTTTTACTACGATTGACTTGAAACTTTGAGAAAATATTCTTGACATGTACTATTAGATAAAAAATGTTTTGAAATTTCCGAACCCATGTAATGCTTTAATAATTCTGACTATCCCAATTTGTTATAACAAATATGTAGGTACCGTTGATTTATTCTATGGTTAAGGGTTATACCATATATTTTCTTTTAATTAAAAATCACTAAAAATGGATAACTAATCTATTATTCAAGACATTCAGTACATTGCATTAGATATAAATAATAATAGTATATAAGATAATATAAAAATGCAGTGTAGATAGAAACTTTTTATTTTACTCAATCTGTGTTTAATTGGACATACACATCAACTAGGTGCATATTTTAATATTTAAGCAGCACTAGATAAAATGCTTTTAATAAAAAAATGAGAATATTTACTGGAGAATTCTACTGAATTTGCTATTTGAGTGAAGTTGACAATTATTATTTATTTTTCAATATTGAAAAAATGTTAAAAATAATCATTTGATGTACAGGGTGAATTTTTTTCGATGTTTAGTGTAGAGATCTAGTATAGTAGCAGAGATATAAAAAAACTTAAATGAGGAAAGATGTGCAGTTTTATGATCCTTATTAAATGTTACTTTTATTTTTTGAAAAAACGTCATGGCTGACTAGATATATGGAAAAATCCGAATTTGGCCAATCCTTCAGATCCGTGTAGCTCCGTTGGTATTTATTTTACAAAAAAAAATTAAATTGCAAAGTTTCGGGTTTTTGCAGTGTTAATAAGATAGTGTGATCAAGTTGTTCGCGTACACTTTCGTTTTCAAGTCATGACATGAACTTCAAGCTTCTTAAATATAAACCATAGTTAGCTATCAGCTAGAAAAAACTTTTTTATGCTTTCCAACGGAAAATGCAGCTGTTTTAACTTTTCAGTTGCTCGCTGACGTAGACGGCTGTGAAAACAATCGAAATGTTTGCTGACAACGCTTTTAGTTACTGTATCATTGTTTGACAGTTACTTTTCTTTCTTAAAAGTCGTTTCAATTGCCAAAGACAACGAATTTTTCAAACGAGGAAAAGCGTTATATTATTGATTGTTATATTCGTTCAGGAAACTTTTAACAATATTGATACGCGTTTTATGAAAAAACCTCAAATTTTGTTTCAAAAAGATGTATCTTGTGCATTAATAATAAGGTGAGGTTTTTGAACAATTTCTTTAATATGTTTAAAGTAAGTCTTTGCTAAGTATTTCATTTACTTACCTCAAACGATTTCCATCATTATGATTTAAATTCTTTATTCTTTTATTGTTTTATTTAAAATATGCCAGTTGTACACTACTCCGATGCCCTGACACATAGTGAGGTGTCCACATGATGCCGACTTCAATTGTTCTAATTTTATTCGTTGGATTGTGTATAATTTTCACAGCCATCTACGTCAACGAGCAATTGAAAAGTTAAAAACGGCTGCATTTCTCTCATTTTTCAAAATAACAGTACCGAATATTATATCGTTGGAAAGCATAAAAAAAGACATTTTTTTCTAGCTCATAGCTAACTATGGTTTACATTTAAAAAACATGAAGTTTATGTTATAACTTGAAAACGAAAGTGAACACGAACAATTTGATCACACATTCTTATTAACACTGCAAAAACCTGAAACTTTGTAATTTAATTTTTTTTTGTAAAATAAATAGTAACGGAGCTACACGCATCTGAAAGAATTGGCCAAATTTGGAATATTCCAAATATCTAGTCAGCCATGACGTTTATTTAAAAAATAAAGGTAACATTTAATAAGGATGATAAAACCGCACATCTTACCTTATTTAAGCTTTTTTGTACCTTTACTACTTTCCCAGATCCCTACGCTAAACATCGAAAAAAACTCACCCTGTATATGTTTGTATAAGTATTATACATTTATTTATTTTTCGTTTATATTCGTAACTGATAGTTATGGGTAGGTTGTGACAAAAATAAGTCAAACCCAGTAACCACAGACTTTTTTGGGCGAAAATAATATGACTTTATGCCATTTTTTATTATACTGTGCTCTTTTTAAGATACATCAAAAACATGAAAAATCAGTATGAAACATTATTAATGAATTAATAGAACTGTTACCTATACTAATATTTTAAAAACATAACCCATTGACCAAAAAATAAGGTGAATTTGTTTAAAAATAAAAAAACTTTATTTATGCTTCCAAATCAATTTTGTCGCTCAAAGTAATCCCCATCCGATACAATGCGCGTATGCCAACGTTTTTTGCAACTTTCGAAACAGTCTCAAAAGTCCTTTTCCGGTATGGCCTTCAATGCTTCCGTCGATTCGGCTTTTATTTCCTCGATCGAGTCGAAACGGTGTCCACGGAGTGGTTTTTTGAGTTTATGGAATAGCCAGAAATCACTAGGTGCTAAATCAAGCGAATACGGTGATTGCGGAACGATATAAGTTGAATTTTTGGCAAAATGTTCTCGAATTATCAATGCTGTGTGAGCTGGTGTATTATCTTGATGCAAAAACCAAGAGTCTGTCCATAATTCCGGCCTTTTGCGGCGAATAGCATCACGCAAACGACGCAGAACACTCAAATAATATTCATTGTTAACTTCGTAGTGCACTACGCCACGATAATCAAAGAAAACTGTCAACATGAGTTTGATTTTAGTGACTTTGGCGTGGTTTTTTCGGTCTTGGTTTCTCTTTGGACGATTCACTCGATTGATCGGCTGTTTCCGGGTCGTTAGCGTAGATCCGAATCTCATCTCCAGTAATGAGGCGTTTCATGACGCGTTGGTAGTCAGAAATCATTGTTTCACAGATGTCCATGCCACGCTGTTTTTCCAAAAAGTTGTGCATTTTTGGAACTAAACAAGATTGACGCTTCTAAGGCACAACAAATCTTTTAAAATGGTATTTACCGAACTTTTTCAATTGCCAACAGTATCAACGATGACTTTTATTATTAATTGACGGTTTTCGTGCACAATATCTTTGATTTGATTAACGTGTTGTTCCTCAGTTGGCGTTAATGGTTGTTCGGGACGCTGTTCATCCTTAACACTTTCTCTGCCTTCTGTAACCTGAGGGGTTATTTTTTTACTTATCTATCTACCGCTATGACCAGTACCATAACGGTGTTAACTGACAAAAGAGTTTACTATCAACTTCTCGAAAGGGAGTTTATAATTATCATTACACTTTAATTAATACGTGGGAACTTAGAAATGTTGTACGTTCAGAGAATGAATACCAGACACTTACCGTATGTCGCTCATGTGCAAGGTAATCCAGTGGTTGGTTGTATGGGGTGACACTTAAGTTGCACGAACAAGAAAGACCAAAACTTCCAGGAATGGTTTTAATAACAATAAAAACAAAACAAACAAACAAAATAACGACACAACGGGCTCGAACAACATTGATAATTAATTTATTTGCACGCGACAGCGTACCGAGATTTAGGGAATGCGCGATCCATAGCAAAATTTGGAATGACTTTATCCATTATTAAATTAACCCGAGACTCTAAAACTAAGTAGACTGCTCAATGTGGAACCCAAGGAAAAACTGCCTCTTTTCAGAGATCTCTCCTGAATTCGACACCTTGCTTCGACACGCCCATTTCTTGGGTTCAGACGTTTCTGTTCTTATCTTACTGGCGGGAACCCTGAATATCGGGACGCTTTGGCATAACTATGCCATATTAATAGTTATCTAATGGACTGAATTTACATTTATATAAATAATTCTGTACTAACTGGACTTACAAGTAACCCTAGCCTTCCTCTAATGACTCCGTGTAGCAATACGGGACGGATTAGTCAGTCTCATTTTATCTATTCTTATAGCTTGGAAAATCCGCCTAAAAACCAGCTATTAGATCTATTATTATTTTTCTAACAAATTCTTGGAATTCATACGTTCTTTGGAATGCATTTCGCGCGTTATTTGAATATCGATTTTTCTCTTTATATCAGATGCTCAACACACGACCTCGTCTTAGTGAACTTGTTCAAAAATACTGTTAAATTTCATAAAGCCTTCTCTGAAGGACGGCCTTGTGGCGACGCTAAACCTACTTGAAAACCCTTAACTTTTCGATAAATTAGTGTTGACTGAAATATTTTACTTCTTGTCCCATCCGTTCCAAGAACTAATAAATAAATTACCACGCGTCCCGACTTCTGTTACACTTCTTTAAAGACTCTGTTCCACTTGTAAACATTTTTCGCGACATAACATCATCACTAAAGGCCTTCTGTAACATCCTCAACGTTTCCGCGGCAGAATATTTATTCCTCAACAAAATTTAATGCAAATTCTTTGCTCAAGAAAATCAGACATAGTGAAAATCGATAAACTCACTTTTGTATGTTTACAAAAACACGAGTAGCTCTCGAGCAACTGAGTATATTGACTTAAAATTCTGCATATATATCAAGGACAGTAATACCAACCTACAAAAAATAATTGTATGCTTTCATAAGACCCGCGAATTGTAAATAAGAAATTCACCTTATTTTTTGGACACGGTATATGTGTATTGTGTGATTTCTATAATGTTATTTTAATTGCGCAAAATAACTCGCCTTTTCAATCAACAAATTCATTTAAGAGGTTTAGTTGGCATGTTAATGTACTTCTTTCCTAACGATTTTGTTTTTAAGCAAATGGATTATTTAAACATTGAACCTGACGGGGAATCACGCACAAGTTTCGAATTCGATTCGGCCATACTCCTGGAAACCTCCAGTCCGATCAACGAGGAGAAGGAAATAGTCATAGGGGGCGAGAAGAGGTCAGTTCAATTTAGTATAGCTAGCCATGAATCAATTTATGACAAATGGAGAGAGAAACTGGACAAGGATGTGGAAATTGTGGTAGGTACCCCTTACAGGATTTAGGTCATAGAACGCTATGATATATATGTTCACTTTGGTCGTTTTTTACGCCAGGAACTGTCAATTTACGACCACGCAGAGCACTATGCTAGCTGTGTTTGCTTTACTTTATCATTTCATTCGTCATCATCATAAATTATTATCATTTCAATCATCATATTATCGTTTCAAAAAGTTCCTTTCTATGTTTTTATACAGGTGTTATTGTAATTTAACTTCATAATGAGGTCCCAAATTTCGAAAAAAAATAATATCTCTTTAAATTAAAAGTGCCAAAATCAGTATACAATTTAGATGCATCAAGGGTAACATTAAGAGCATCGGAAATTTTTTAATCGTGTCATTTCACATAGATAAATATGTTTCAATATTGAAAGAAGGGCTCAGGACATGAATGTTTTTAGTACAAGTAAAGAATGCCATAATTTAAACAAAGTACAAGATGAAGAGGTTATTTCGCGGACAATTGAGTAAGAATCTCAATTTACTGGATTCATACCATCAACAAAAAATTCAAGAGTTGTTGTCTTAGGATTTAAACCTATGATCTATTAGTTTAACAGAGGAATTAGCTTATAATTTAACCACCAATATTCGGATATCAACACTTATACAATAACTTTTCGCCATTTTCAATGTAAGTTTAAAATAAATATTTGGGTGGATATTATTGATAGACAACTGATCCAGTCTACTAAAACGTCTAAAAGATGAAAGTTATTTGAATTGCTTCTACATATATCTCTTTTGTTGCTAGAAGATTTACCATTGGATTTTAGATGACGACCTCATTTAAAAGTGCTATTAGAGATTTTTTAGAGATTTAAGTACGCAGTTTCCACATAAATTAATAAGGCGGGGAGATAATTGCCCCCATAATTGGTCACCGCAGTCACCGGACCTAAACAAATGTGATTAATTGGAAATCGCTAAAGAAATTGATTTATTTAGTCGAAACACAATCATGATGAATTATGGAATCGGATTATAAATAAATGCAATTTGATAAAGGATGATCACAGGTTATTTATTGGACATAGTGAATTTTCATTTTCAGCGAAATATAATCTATGACCTATAGAAAATAGTGGCCATTTTAAACAATTTCTTTTTGTTCCTTTAAATTACGTTGTTTGTATAACAATTTTGTTTTCTCATTAAGACGTCCTTGTAGAAATAATTTTTGTTCAAAAATATGCAATGTTAATAAATGTACTTGTTACTTAAAAGTGTCTGCTGAAAACCGAAATTAAATCTATACCTGTTAACTGCCAAATTTGAGTGATAAATTCATAGTCCATTCATCAGTTTTACCTGATAATAGTTCACTTAGAATAACTTCTTTCAAATAATCCTTTTTTTTAACAGCAAGGTTTATCAAGGTTTAGCAAGGGCAAAAATATATAGTTTTATAATCAAATTCTGTATAATATGAAGGCATACGTTTTCAAATTGACCAAAGCGCAACTTGCGATGTTGTGACCTTGAACATTTCGTCAATTTATAACCCTTATATCTAAATTATACAATGTGGACCATTTTGGTGATGAATGTTGCTAATTTAATGGCGCTTACAAACCTTAGGTTTTTGAGTTATTTTGAAAAAAAGTTTTCGAAACCGCCTGTAACTTTTTTATTTAGAGGAATTTTTAAAATCTGAAAACACTTTTCACAGTACGTTTTTTTTTCGAGGAATTTCACTGTATATTTATATTTTCATTGTGACGCTTCGGTTGCGAGAAACATTATTAACTTTCTATTTTCTTGTGAGCCTCATATTGAATTTTAAGCTGAGGAAATAAAGCATTTTTTTTAACTTTTCTATGATATAATCGTGACAATCAAATAATACATTATTTCAACAACGTCAACAAGAGTATGCAATAGAGAAATAAACATGAAGGTAGATCTGTTTAGCAAATGTTTATATAATTTAACAGTGCTTTCCTATTCCATATTAATCCGTAGTACTCGTATAATAATTATTATTCTAGTCCTACTAGTATTTATAATTAATTTTATTGAAATTTATGTATAATCAAATTTTTGTATTGAAATTTGTTTACTGTTTCCACTGATATCTAATTTTGTTTTTCCTAAAGATCGCTCAAATGCATAAAGAGTCTACTAGTGGGTTAGGTATTAGTTTAGAGGGAACGGTTGATGTTGAAGATGGTAAGGAAGTGAGACCTCATCACTACATTAGAAACATCCTTCCCGATGGTCCTGTTGGAAGAAATGGGATTCTACAATCAGGAGATGAGCTATTGGAGGTATATAAACTATACAAAAAGTAGTATGTTCTTTTGATCAGATCTTTCTATATATCTGATCTAAAGTCAGTTTAGCGCTAGTATCCACTATTTTCGAGAAAATGCTCCCCAAATCCTCAAAAATAGTTTTTTTTTTGGGAATATAATTAAGGATTACCTATAACGTTGTGGGAGAAGCTAATCCGTATTCTGGATTCCATAACCCCATCGTCAAAATTTCGAGCCTGCTGATCACGATTCTGAAGTCAATTTGGTCCACCACCACTTACGAGAAAATACACAATGTATATGAAATGGTGTTTCATTAAAAGTTAGTTATTGTTCATCGCTACAGTCAATGTGGAAGTAATCCACATAATCCAAGAGCCATTTTCACGATTACAGTTTTATAATTGTGACATTTATGATTGTCCAAAAAGTTTTTTGTTATATTTTCGAAGTAATACAGCCTTCTCAGTTTCATCCATTTTCAATACAAAATCTTGAATATATTTTCTTTCAGTTTAGCAATGATCATTCCCCTACAACGTTAACCTTCTTTGTCCAAAGCCTTCACGAATTGTTCAATTAGTCCTTGTTGGTACATAGTGGTAGAAACTGAGCCTTGGATGGTTTTAGATTCCCTTATTGAGGCTAATCTGATTAAACATTTGTGGATGTTTCTTTCCATCCCACAGTATACAATCGTCTTCATTAATAAATTCACTGGCATCGTCTTCCTCTCCATGTTCCTTCTCGTTTCTAAATTTGAGTTGAGCGGGTCTGAAAATATAATATATTCTCCCACCACGTTACAATCTTTCAGCATTTTTGGAAGATTCAGGGTTCATTTTTTTGGGAAACGAAGGGTATTGGAGCTAATATGAATGCAAGCTCGTGTTCATTGCGCTCCAAAAAAATGGTAATAATAATGTCTGTTCAAAAGAACATATCACTTTTTTGCTTTGTGTGTCTGTATTAATTTAAGTTTCAACAAGTTAATAGTAATTTATTGCATTTGTACATAGAAAAGTGTCTTAAAAAGTATCTTTGCGACAAATACATTCTGCTCATAACTAGAATAATTTTCTTATAACCTTTATAAAATTATAGATTAAATGTAGTGTACCACTTAAATTCTACAATTCTAAATTATATTAATCTATAGGGAGAAATTCCAAAACCAGATTAAATGACAGCGGCAAACGAAGTAAATTGGTCACTAATCTCTACAGACCTATCTAGCAAATGCAACATTGTACCATTTTGTTGGGATGTCGAGAACAAATTTCGTGATTTAATACTAAATTAAGCATTCTGGATATCCATTGTTTGAAAATGGAACGTGGCGTTTTTTCTGAATTTTCAATTATTTTTCATTTTCCGGCACGAAGACTAATGGGAAGCAAACTCGATAGCATTTAATTTTAATTACACAGCGCCACAAAAAAAGTACCTGGTCCGAAAGATTATACCATGATATTTTTTTATTTGTTTTTGGGGTCGCTGAATCCAAAAATGGATACTTTTTATTTAAAATTTTATATACGTTTCGACAATATTATTTATTTTTCAATATTTTAAAATTTTTAATACTCGGTCGGCTATATTGGATCCGCCATTTTGAATTTTGAAAATCTAACACTGGATTCGGGATCAGCGATCCCAGAAACGTATAAGGAAGGTCAAATTTTTTGCAGTACCTTTTTCGCGATATGTCCTTGGATCGACCTTGACCCTGACCTGATCGGGTTAAACGGACCCCAGATTCGGATTCAGCAAACCCAAATAAACAGATAGACATTATGGTCTGGTCTTTCTTCTTCTTCTTCTTCTTCTAGTGGTTGGTCTTAATAAGTAACATTGTACTGCGGCCCAATTAGGCCTATTGTGCGTCCCACTATTAGTCCTATTCAGCAAGTTGATTTGTCCTTTTTACAAAGTCCAAAAGCTTCCTTGCTGACACTTCTCTCAGTTTCTTGTGTTCCAAATAGGGTCTCCCAAGGAGCGCCATTCTGCTACGTGCAAATCCTGGGCACTCGCCCAAGATATGCAGAGAAGTTTCATCCGCCGATTCACATCCTCGGCAGACCGGACTGTCTACAAGCTTTAGTCTATGTAGATGTTTCTTAAAGTGACAGTGTCCCGTTATGAGTCCTGTCACTCTCCTGAGCCGGATTCTATTCAAGCTCAGTAACTCATTCGCTCTTCCATTCGAAGGATACTCCATAAGCTCCTTGGAATGGCTATGTCCTGGCCTTGAAGTCCAGTATTTCCTATGTTCTGTCTCTGTCCATTTGCCCAGAGCCCGCCTGACCACACTGGGAGATGTGCCACAGAAGGGCTCCGGGCCAATGAACACTGTCTCGGATCCCTTCCTCGCAAGTTCATCCGCTTTCTCATTTCCACAAATGCCTTTGTGCCCTGGCACCCAACACAGTCTGACTGTATTGTTGGTGGCCAGTTCAGTCAGCATTTGTAAACAGTCCCACACCAGTTTTGAACTTACCTTGTGTGCGGCTAAAGCTTTAATTGCAGCTTGACTATCAGAGAATATATATATGAGTTTACGTCTATAACCTCTACGTACATTCTCTGCCAGACACGCCATTATTGCGAAGATTTCTGCTTGGAATACAGTAGGGAACTCCCCCAGACTGTAGCTTGCACTCCATCTGGGTCTGAGTCCATATATTCCTGCACCCGTCCCTCTGGTCATTTTGGAGCCATCTGTAAACCATACTAGGCTCCACCTTTCCAGGGTATTAAACCTTTCCTCCCACTCGCTTTGATCCTCTATTCGAGTCTCAAATGGCTTGTGGAAGTGAAACCTTGGAACCATCTTGTCAGATACCATCCCAAAAGTTGGTTCCGACATAGATGTATCTATGATCCTGGAATTGGAACCACCCCTCCAGTCATTGTTATTCCTGAGTCGGTAAGCTGCTGGCCGCGCTTCTTTTTCCACCACTATATGCAGCGGTCTGGTCTTTAGGATCAGGTACTTTTTTTGTGGCAGTGTTATAGCTGACCCTTTTCAATTTCGATTACAAAATTTTCGTGTTTCTATTTCATTGTTTCCATTTGTGAATCTATTGAAAGGAAATAGTTACACTCAGACATATTGACGGTTCTCTTATTTGTAGGTAAATGGCATCCAGTTATTAGGTCTGAATCATTTAGAAGTAGTATCGATATTAAAGCAACTGCCAAATTTCGTCAGTATAGTTTGTGCCCGGTATCCGGTTCCTATTAGAGTAATAGATACGTCACAACATAGGGAAGCTTTCCAGGCTAGAGTAAGTAAAAATTAGCCACCTATTAACGCCTCCTATTAAAAAAATTACACTGCGTACCTATACCATTTTTTTTTTTAAATATACTTTTATGGGCGATAAATAATATTTTCGTGTATTTTAGAAAATATTAGCTGGTAGTCTTCAAACGTTAATACCGACGAGTGAAAGCAGCCGATTAGTTAAAGCGAAATCTGAAACATCTATAGCCTCAAGTCTGGCCAGCGAGGCGACGGCTAGCAGGTCGAGATCCTTAGAACTCATAGCTGGACTGCCGATGTGGAGTGACGAACCCACTGTAGTAGAGTTAAACAAGGGCGATCACGGACTTGGTTTTTCCATATTGGATTATCAGGTATATTCGTATATTGTTATTAATTCTCTATATCTTTTTTGTATTTGAAAATGTCATAGGCATAAAAAAGTTACATGGTGGTCAAGGGGGTGGGGACCTCAGAAAACAACACCCTTTATTTTTTTACATGTGCGAGTAATATACGGAGCCTTCATCAATGATTAAAAGCCACGTGACCAGTTATTTTGTTAGGTATAGTAATTTTGTTTCCTTCATGTTGGCAAATAAATTTCGGTAAAATAAAAAATTATTGAAAATATTCTCTAACAAATAAAGAAGTAAGAAGTCTCTAACTCTCAAGTTGACTTTTGTGTGTCAAAATGTTAACTCCAAGTTATAGGCGGGATTACTGAGACAAGCATTTCAGTGACACCCTATATAAGCTTTCTAATTTTATTGTCAGTGGTGTGATTGAAACTTGTAACAGTAAAATAAAGAAAAAATGTAAGAAGACGTTTACTAGTTGTTAAAATTATTTGTAAGAGTATAACGTAATCCATCTAAGGTATATTAATCGTCGAAGAGAAGTCCATAAGCTTCATTGGACAAAGCGATGTCAGCTTGAGCCCAGGAACGATGGTAGACAAAAGTAGGGACAGCGCCTCCGTTCAGGTAAGATTCTACTTTGGACTATTGTGGGTCATTCTTGTACCAAGATCGGAGTCCCATGAAAGTTGAGGAAGAATCAGTTACATCTCTATTGGGGTATTGGCCAGTCCATCCACTTGGAACGTACACTGGCTCGTTTAATCGGTTGTAGTCATCACGAGGTTCTTCGTTGGAAACTCCGTATTGGGTCTGGAAATTTTCCCACATGATATCCAACAGCTGCTTTGCTGCGGATTTTGCGTTTTCTTTGGCGGCGTAATAGGCCAAAGCCCTGGCGGTGCCGGACCCAGTACCGACATCACTCGTGAAGGCGGTGATGCTTACATGAAGGCAGTTTCCTGGTACACCAGCCCATTCAAGGTTAGCAGGCAGTTGGCAGGAGTTGCCGGAGAATTTGGTGTTGGCAAGAACCCAGGATACCCATTTGTCCAACAGGCCTTTGGCGGTAGCATCACCGGTTATCTTATATCACATTATGGTTTACGAATATAAAATTATCTGAATCAAAATTTCCGAGACAAATGGATTGGAAGAGGTGGACCATGGCCTGCTGGGTCACCAGATCTGAATCCCCTAGATTTTTCTTTTGGGGTTATTTAAAAGAAAAGATTTATAGTTCGTATATACGCTGCTGTCGCGTTAATAGACCAAGAGATGCTACAAAGAGTTCATACTTCAATTGCGATAAGCTTTGTCTTGAAGTAAAAGGCAACTTATTTGAATACCTTTTGTAAAAATAATTTCTATTATTTAAGCCCATTATGGTTTTAGTTTATGTTTTATTATAAGAATGTTTTTCTCTAACCTTTTCAGGTTAAAATAATTCCTTACACCTAGGTACAACCGACAATCGAAAACTATACTTACCTACTATTGGTTATAAATTATATGTCTTGGTTCCCATAAGCACAGACCTGAGACAAAAAAATGGATTTTCACTTTTTTAGTTTTTTGAATACTTTTTCGAATAACTCAACAACGGAAAACAATCGGAAAATTTTCCACTCTTGATTTTCAATTCGTTTTTGTCTCCTTAATCAAATCCTAGAAGGACGGGCATCACTTTTGGGACACCCTGTATATAAGGTCTCAGCAAATTTCACAATCAACGTTTGACTGCACATTTACGACGATAAATAAAGACGATCTACGAAAAAAAAGTTAAATAAAAAATTTTTGGTTTTTGAGTTACAAGCCTTCAAAGTTGTCAAAAATAAAACTAATTTAATTAATAACTTCATAACCCTTTTACCGATCGCGTTAAAAATTGGTACATTTATTTGGACCATTATTGAATACTATTTCTTAAAGCTTTAGCAAATTGATACACGGGGTGATAGTTTTCTCTTGTTACTTCTCCCTTTTAGCGGTCAAAACTTTTACAGTAGTCGTATTTTTTTAAAGCGGGCGGCAACATTGAAAAGATCGTTTTATTTAAAAAAATTATTGCCTCTTAAGAAAATCGCCTGCAGAAAGCCATTCTTGAGAAAAATGGCATTATTTGCATGTGTGTACGTTTCGGTTCAAAAGTTTTATTTCAGTAGGCGATGAAAACAAGATCTTGATTGTTATGGCTATCAGTTAATGTGATTATTCTCGTGTTTCTTTAGTATTCTCATTACTCCACACATGCAAATTATGAAAATTTCAAACTCCGTTTAATTGTCTTGATGCACTGCGACACTTCATAATTTGCATGTGTAGAGTGATGAGAATCCCAAAGAAACACGACAATAATGACATTCCCTGATAGCCACAGCAATCGACATCTTGTTTTCATTGCCTACTGAACTCAAAGTTTTAAATCCATGACACCGGAATACAAACCGAAACTTACAGACCTGCAAATAATGTCATTTTTCTCAAGAACGGCTTTCTGTAGGCGATTTTCTCAAGGGACGACTATTTCAATGTTGCTGCCCGTTTTTAAAAAATACGACCACTGTAANAAATTTCACAATCAACGTTTGACTGCACATTTACGACGATAAATAAAGACGATCTACGAAAAAAAAGTTAAATAAAAAATTTTTGGTTTTTGAGTTACAAGCCTTCAAAGTTATTAAAAATAAAACTAATTTAATTAATAACTTCATAACCCTTTTACCGATCGCGTTAAAAATTGGTATATTTATTTGGACCATTATTGAATATTATTTCTTAAAGCTTTAGTCAAATCGATATACGGGGTGATAGTTTTCTCTTGTTACTTCTCCCTTTTAGCGGTCAAAACTTTTACAGTAGTCGTATTTTTTTAAAGCGGGCGGCAACATTGAAAAAGTCGTTTTATTTAAAAAAAAATATTGCCTCTTAAGAAAATCGCCTGCAGAAAGCCATTCTTGAGAAAAATGGCATTATTTGCGTGTACGTTTCGGTTTAAAAGTTTTATTTCAAGATCTTGATTGTTATGGCTATCAGTTAATGTGATTATTCTCGTGTTTCTTTAGTATTCTCATTACTCCACACATGCAAATTATGAAAATTTCAAACTCCGTTTAATTGTCTTGATACACTGCGGACATTTCTTAATTTGCATGTGTAGAGTGATGAGAATCAAAAAGAAACACGACAATAATGACATTCCCTGATAGCCACAGCAATCGACATCTTGTTTTCATCGCCTACTGAACTCAAAGTTTTAAATCCATGACACCGGAATACAAACCGAAACGTACAGACCTGCAAATAATGTCATTTTTCTCAAGAACGGCTTTCTGTAGGCGATTTTCTCAAGGGACGACTATTTCAATGTTGCTGCCCGTTTTTAAAAAATACGACCACTGTAAAAGTTCTGACCATTAAGAGGGAGAGGTAACCGGAGAAAACTATCACCCAGTATATCGATTTGACTAAAGCTTTATGAAATAATACGCAATAATAGTCCAAATAAATGTACCAAAAGGTTTTTATTTAACTTTTTTTTCGTAGATCGTATTTATTTATCGTCGTGAATATGCAGTCAAACATTGTCGGTGAAATTTGAGAACACCCTGTATATTCTACTGCTCTTGTTATATAATGTTAACGGTTAAATTTTTTCGTTTTCTCTTTTGTGTCGAATTTAATGTTGTTATTATAGTCCAAGCATTATAGAGAAATGCTTACAGAAATTATTACCTGGACAAAAAAATATGATATAAAAAATTAAATTTTAAATTGAGTTTCTTGTTCTTTAAACTCGATCCAATATGGCGAACATGGTTAAAAAAAATCGCAAAGTTGAAAAAAACGGTTTTTCTAAAATAACTAAAAAAATATAGCACGGATTGAAAAATTTTAAATGAGAAAGTTGTAGGTTTTAAAAAGATCTATCGACTGATTTTTTGAAAGTATCGATTGCTTTGTTACTTTTCGAGATATATCGAAAAAACCGTTAAAAATCTTCTCTTTTCTCTTCTTCTATAACTCGTTTACATTTACGTGCCCATATTTGCTATTTACTGCAAGCATAGCCCGCGGCAAGCCAAAAAAGTACATTTTTGAAAAATTTAAAAATATTAATTATTTTTCGAGATATATCGATTTTTTGAAAAAAAGGCGCTCTCGAAAATTGGCTAGATCTTCTCAGCGGATAGCCCTACAGTAACGATTTTCGGTTTATTTTCTTCGTAAAGAGTTATATTATCATGCTGTTAAAAAATGTTGACGATTTTATTAATTTTAAGGATCAAAAAATGACATTGAAAAAGTTGCACTTTTTTTGGGTATGTTTTTTTCAAATAACTATTTCAATTTTTATTTTATGAAAATGACTTTTAAAGAAAGAAACTGCTGACATTTTTTCACGAATTTAAAAAAAATTTTTTTTCTACGACCTTCTGGAGCCAAGATAATTTTTTTATTTAAAAAAAATTTTGAGGACGCAATTAACATTTTACAGCGATGCGCTTGATGGAGGTTAATATTGAATACTTATATTAAAAAAAAAATAGTAGGATATGTTTGCTTGATTTTTAGTAATAGTAATTGAGTAATAAACTGAAGCGTGCAACTGCGTCAGCTGGACCGGACAGAGAAGTAGGGGGAAGCGGCGCGCTTGCAAAATCTTTCATATCTCGGCTTCTGGACCACATACAAAACTTCTTTTGTACTTAATCTGGGGTAGCTAAACACGAATATTATAGTCATTTTCGCCTTAGAAGCAAAATAGTTCCGTATATGTTTAGGTTTTATTTAATTTACATTTTTTTGGAATTTATCGTAATTTTAATAATTAATAATATTACAGTATTATTCGTGTAATAGCTTATTTTTTTTGCTTCATTAATCATACTGACGTTGTACTTGTTGCTGGTTTTTTAACAATTACTTCATCATTTCAATAATTGATTAATTTTGGTGTAAAATCAGTTTAAAGAATTTAATTTATTTATAAAAATATTTAATAATTATACAACTATGTATAAAATATCTATAAAATTATTACAATGAAAACTAACAAGTATCCTACATAGATAAAATTATTTATCGAATGAAATTCTTCTTTTCTTTGTCGGATTATCTTTTGAATCATTTTCGTGAAGAAGTATAATCAAAGTAAAAAAAATATATAAGTTAAATTAAAACTAAACATTTACGGGACTATTTTGCTTCTAAGGCGAAAATGACTATAATATTCGTGTTTAGTTACCCCAGATTAAGTACAAAAGAATTTTTGTACGTGGTCCAGAAGCCGAGATATCAAAGATTTTGCAAGCGCGAGCCATTTAGACTGCACGTCATCAGTTTTCAGAGCGAGCGCGCGCCGCTTTCCCCTACTTCTCCGTTCGGTCCAGCTGACGCACTTGCACGCTTCAGTTTATTACTCAATTATTAATACTAAAAATCAAGTAAACATATCCTACTATTTTTTTTTTTAAATAAAAGTATTCAATCAAGCGCATCGCTGTAAAATGTCAATAGCGTCCTCAATTTTTTTTTTAAATAAAAAAATTATCTCGGCTCCAGAAAGTCGTAGAAAAACATGTTTTTTTAAATTCGTGAAAAAATGTCAGTAGTTTCTTTCTTTAAAAGTCGTTTTCATAAAATAAAAATTGAAATAGTTATTTGAAAAAAAACATACCCAAAAAAAGTGCAACATTTTCAGTCATTTTTTTATGCTTAAAATTAATAAAATCGTCAACATTTTTCAACAGCATGATAATATGACTTTTTAAGAAGAAAATAAACCGAAAATCGTCACTGTAGGATTATTCGCTGAGAAGATCTAGCAAATTCTTGAGAGAGCCTTTTTTTCAAAAAATCGATATATCTCGAAAAATAATTAATACTGTTAAATTTTTCAAAAATGTATTTTTTTGGCTTGCCGCGGGTTATGCTTGCAGTAATAGCAAGTATGGGAACGTAGATGTAAACGAGTTATAGAAAAAGAGAAAAGAGAAGATTTTTAACGGTTTTTTCGATATATCTCGAAAAGTAATAAAGCAATCGATACTTACAAAAAATCAATCGATAGATATTTTTAAAACCTACAACTTTCCAATTTAAAATTTTTCAATCGGTGCTATATTTTTTAAGTTATTTTAGAAAAACCGATTTTTGCAATTTTGCGATTTTTTTTAACCATGTTCGCCATTTTGGATCGAGTTTAAAGAACAAGAAACTCAATTTAAAATTTAATTTTCTATACGGTCATATTTTTTTTGTACAGGTAATAATTTCTGCAAATTACTATAACCATACAAGTAGACTCGCAACTGTTTGGAAATTAATAAATAAATAATTTATCTGTCATATTTCAATCGCTCAAATTAACAATTGAATGGACATGAGGTATCTTATTAATAAGTTATGGAATGGATAAATTGTAGTTTGAGAAACGCAATTTTATAGTTTGTTATCTATTGATCAACTATCTTGCCATTAACCGATCCTTAATGACAACGATAACGTATGGCACACGACCATCAAAAAGGTATAATTGAATGGGGGGGGGGGGTTGGATAGAGTTTCTGTACTCTAAACAGAAAACAGTATGAAGAAATATATTTATTAAAGTTCAGTAAAATTCGGAACAGCATAAGACAATCATTTATTCGTTGAAGAGAAGCCCATAAGCTCCATTGGCCAAAGCAATGTCAGCTTGAGCCCAGAAACGATGGTAAGTAAAACTGGGAACGGAGCCTCCGTTCAGGTAAGATTCTACCTTGGACCATTCTGGGTCATTCTTGTACCACGATCGGAGTCCGATGAAAGTTGCGGAAGAATCAATTACATCTCCGTTCGGGTACGTGCCAGTCCATCCACTTGGAACGTAAACGGGCTCGTTGAATCGGCTGTAGTCTTCACGAGGTTCTTCATTGGAAACTCCGTATTGGGTCTGGAAATTCTCCCACATGATGTCCAACAATTGCTTAGCTGCGGATTTTGCGTTCTCCGCATTGGCTTTGGCGGCATAGTAGGCCAAGGCCCTGGCGGTGCCGGCTGCAGTACCGACATCATTCGTGTAGGCGGTGATGCTTACATGAAGGTCGTTTCCAGGTAGACCAGACCATTCAAGGGTAGCAGGCAGTTGGTAGGAGTTGCCGGAGAATTTGGTGTTGGCAAGAACCCAGGACACCCATTTGTCCAACAGGCCTTTGGCGGTAGCATCACCAGATACGTAATAGTATTGGGCCAATCTGTCTAGAGACCAAGACTGCATACCATACCATCTGTTGGATGGTGGATCGTGGTATACGGGTTCCCAATCGTAGAACATACCTACAAACGACATTAATCGATATTAATATTCACGTTTAAATCACTTGTGATATGCCATTGCAATTATAATTGGACATTGTATATGAACAAACAACTTGATACTTAGTACTTGCAAAAGGAATTTGGAAGATTAATACATTTGCATGTTAAAATCGTAAATCCAAAGTTTAATTTTATTATTAATGGATAAAGGAGATAATAAACTCATTTGGTACATACCGTGGAAAGTGTTGCTAGTCAAATTGGATGGGGGAGTATCATATCGGCCATTCCAAGTGTTAGTAGCGCCACCAGCGAATGCACCTTCTTCGGTTTGCAGCCAGCTGTAGAACTCCAACTGTCTTTCCAAGGAAGTTTGCCAATCAGAAACAGCGGTGGATCCTTTTGGTTTCAAGCTAGCTTCGTTAGCCAAGGCATATGCGGCCAATGGGTTCTGGTAACCGAAATGAGCGGCGCCATCTCCGATTCTCCATGCCCATCCGCCGTTGGTGTCTAAGGCTCCTCCCCAGGCGTAGTACCAGGACAGCAAATAGTGAGCGGCATCCTTGCCAGTTCCGGCTGCGCAAGTTTGTGGACCAACGCAGTCTCCGATCTTCTTGAAGTATTTGTCGAACAAGGCGTACCTCAGGAAGTCACCCATTTTAGCTGCCTTCTCCAAAGTGGCGGAAATTGTTCCTGTTTGTCCAGCATCGGCCGCCCAACGGGAGGCCCAGAAAGCAGCTTGAACGGCACGAGCGTCGGCATCTGGAGCGTTTGTAAACTTCCACTGTTTAGCGTAGTTGTTGTCACCTGAAAAGAAGGATAATTTTTTCAGACATCTTTGGACATATTAATATAGAAACAATGACGATAAAAGAACAATTTAGTAATGTACGCGTACCGGTGAAGAGATCCAAGAAACCATTGGTACCACCATATTGGAAGGAATCGCAGGAAGGTTGAGGAACCGTTCTCCAGACAGATTCTTCGGGACCTCTCTGGAAGGTGTTAATGTATGATGGGCCGGCAGCACTAGGTCCTTTTTCGCATCCACCTCCTATTAAAATAAAAAGACAATCTGTTATATCGTAAGTTAGAAGCGCTTGTTGATTTTACTACCACAACAGGACTTAATTTTTAAATATAAACTGCGTCCTTGTCGTTATATGGATATGGAAATAATTTTAAAAATTGTTTGTTTTTTTATTTACCTGGAGTGACACCAAATCCGTAGATATTATCTACATCTGACAACCAATGCATGCCGTAGATATCGGGAGTACCGTAAGCAGATTGCAATTCCTGGGATATAGGGTCGGTACCAACTGCTACACTTGTATCCATCCAGGCTGGATATTCGTTGGGTGTGTCGTGCTCTGGAGCGTAAGTAGCGGGTTTCGATGGGTTGTAGAAGCTGTTGGTAGGTTGGTCTTCGTGTGTAGGGATCATGTATTTTTCCATGACATCCCAGGCAGTGTTGAAGCTGGAGAAGTCACCACTGATAGCACCGTACATGGCTTCTAGCCAGATGTAGTAACTGTAAGCCTCAGATGTGGTTTCGTGTCCATAATCGGGTGCTTCAACCATTAGGGTTTCGATGGAGTGGTATGGGACTCCTACAGGAGAGAAGTATCCAGCGGATGAGTTGTGTATTTTGCCATACTGGTCCAAAAACCGCTGGGTGTATACACCAGCTTGGATTTGGGTAGCGCACCCGATCAACAGAATTACTTGCCACGACCGCATGATGGACCTACACAGAAAGTTAAAATGATCACTAAATCCACATATAAAAATTCTTTTCTTGGTTTAGATTAGGTCAAAAAGTATAAAAAAAAATTCGTAGACGTTTCTTCATTTTTATTATATGTTCAAAGTTCTATATGCTGGGTTTTATAAGTCAAAAAGTTCTAATTGCACGTAAAGACATTCTATCTTCGTCTATGTAATAGAAAAGAAATATATTATCAAAATTATGTCTAAATGTCCTTGTGCACTAGACTTACAAAACCCACCACATGCAGTTCTGAAGATGTCGCAATTAAAACGACGAAACATCGATAAAGTGTAACAATGCTCTTTTAATTATATTTCCAGACCCCATCCAAATAAAAAAAATTGCAATCGCTGTCCCCAACTAAACAAAATTTAAACAAAAAATTTAGTAGATCAATTTTATTGTAAAAATAAACAAAATGAACGTAAAGCAGTAATAATTTAATGGAAAAATTAAATGGTTTATTTCAGAAGAACTTAACCAAAGAAAATATTAAACTTACCTCTTTTACGAAGCCTAATCGTTTGATTCGTGTCTTCATTACAGGATTTTTATATAGAAAAGGTATCTTATCTAATGTACTTGAATAACGTAGCTTTTAAAAATAAACTTTTCTAAAAAAAATTACAAGGTGTCCCAAAGAATATCCCTTAATTAATTTATTATTTCTTAAAAAAACTCACATACACAGAAAAATTATGGGGTAAAACGAAAATGGATGCAATTAGACGAAACATGGGCGTCATTATGGAGAACAGATTTCATTAATTCTCCATTTTTATGTGTCATTGGCTGACATTTTTAATTACACGACAAATCTTAGGGCTGAAAAACATTTGCAGTCCCTTTTTAGTGTAATATGTAGTTATTTAACTTAATACCCGTATAATAAATATATTTCTATATGTATACAGGGTGATTCAGAAAAAAATTCTGGATGTACAGGGGATCCTTACAAATACAATTTTGTAAAGAAAAAATCAAAAAGGGCAGTTCGAAAATGATTTAAAAATACACTTCTGTACGGCACTGGAAACTGGTCCACTGTAAAACCTGACCTCGCACAATGCGACCGGCATGGCGGTGTGATAAAATCGGACAAAAACTTTCGCAAGGAAAGAAATATGTAAATAGAATTTTATCGCACCTATTTTATATCGTCAAATTCAACTGCTTTTGCCTTTATTAATTAATACAATTAATTTGTGTTTTTAAATAATAAAATTATTTGACATACCCGATGTTACAACAATTGTTCAAAATTTTATCCACCAACGTGTAAACACATTTGGGTCCGTCTTACTCAGTTTCTACGAACTAACACAAATGTTGTCTTGCTTCACCATATCACAAATGCTTCACCATAAATTAAAACGATATCCATGAAATCCGAGTTGCTATACACGCAAACCATTTTTGACACTAACTACCCATTTTTGAGACTAACTACTAAAAAAACTATTGAACAGATAACAGGTAAATACTATTGCAACGACGATTGCAAAATCCGATTTCAGTATTCGGAGTCGCTGAGCCCACTTGGCTCTCCACGCGCATTGCGAATGACGCTAGAGACTACAGTTGTCCAGCTATGTAGTCGTTGAATGTACTATAACTTCAAAAATTTTTTTCTCGGAAACTATAAGGATTTTACAAAATTTTTTTGTATGATATTGACTCCATTTCTCATGCCGCATTTATTCCCAAATTTTTTTGGATAAGTTCTGAATCACCCTGTATGTCACAACAATCTTCTATGAAAATAGTAAATTTTTACTACATGTGGTTAACTATTTTTTTATTTATGTATCATAAAAGGCATAATACCCCTAGAAAACAGTACTTTATACAAAATTACCTTTCTAATTTTTTAATTTTATGAATTACGTTGTTAAATTTATATCCATTGCTCTAATTTATCGATTTATAAAATTAAGAATATTTATGTATCTATTCATTTCAAGCGTGACTGAATTAGTTGAGTTATTTGTAGAACGTTCATATCAAAAATGCATTTAGATTTTTATCTTTATATTTCGCGTTTCGTACAAGTACATAAATTACTTTTAGTTTAACCAATACCTAAAAATATTTAGGACACCCCGTAGATGTTTAATATTTGAGAAAAATAAAATTAAACTCCTTAAGTAACAATTGCGTAAACAGCTTATTTTGAACAGCATGCCACCTGAAGTGCTCTTAACAAATGAAATCCAAAAAAACAAGATAACAACACGTCCTCAACTAAAATATGGGGAAATACGTTATCGATAATAACTTGAGGTGGGTATGCTAATACCTACCACATTAAAAATATCATTTTTAATTAAGTAGATATAGGCATTAAATTCTATTCAGTTCAGTTGCAACCAAATTGCAACTAACAATTTACTTTTTATACTTCGTGGACTAAAAGTGCTGTTTTCTTCCTTAACAAAAACAAACGAATATTAACTGATGTAATTCTGTTGGTTGTCAGTTAAATATACTACACTGTGCCCGGAAACTAAACCGACGAACGAAGCCAGCAAATTGATGATTGATGATTTAATTTCGATTTGTCATAAATCCAATAATGCTTCCTAAGGGTGGTAGGACTCTTTAACATTGCTTTTTTAATTGTTCAGATTGTTATTTACTTTTCCAAAGCCAACTAATAAATATTAGCAAAAAATTTGTAATTTTTAATTATCGTGGAAAAAACAAACATTTCAAATAGATTTTCCTTCCATTCAAGACAAGAGTACCTCTTTAATCTAGGATACTCTGAAGTTTTCGATTTTGATATTCAAAATACCAAAAAGTCAAAGATAAAAAATATAATTAAAATTATTAATTAACCCTTCCAAATGTGACACCTGTGGTTAAATTAAAAAATTATTTCTACATCAAAAGGCTGTCCGTGTAAGAGTTAACACATAACCTAAGTTATAGATAAACAGCTATCTGAACAATTAAAAAAAAACAATGTCAAATGGCCATCTTTAAGAGCCCCAACTCCCTTAAGAAGAATTTTTGGATAAGAGGATTCATGTCAAATCAATATGAAATTATCCCTAGACTTTGCTATCTTCATTTGTCGGTTTAGTTTCCGGACATATATGGCATGCATATACAGGGTGTATATGCATGCCATTAACACTGAATTATATATAATTCAAAATAAAAATGGAGTTATTTAGAAGAAGTTTAGAAGTTAAGACTGTAATATACAGAATAATTACACTTTCCATATATGCCATAATAGGCTATTGATGAGGTATATCCAAAAAAACAGGGTTGAAAGGAACTATGATGTTCCAGCAATTTTATTGCATGAATCGTTCAAAGGGTCATTTTAGATGAAAAAACCGCTGAGTGCTATGAAATTAGAGGGTGGAAATTGGAGATAGGGGTGAAAATGCACCCCTTTCAGTTTTTTAATTGTAGCTCGAACAGGAAGCAAAATTTCTCTATAGTTCATAGGAAAAATTATTTTCATCCAAAAATACTTTACAACCTCTTATTTTGGAGGAAATTTTCTCTACTTTTTTTTTTATGAAACCTACCTATTATTACGCAAAAGAAAACTAGAGGCAAAAAAGTAAAAAAAAATCAAAAAATCTATTTTTTGCTTTTTTTCAAATTGTTTATTATTGATTTTTTCTTTTAAATTTTTTAAATAAGCCGTTCCGACGGGAAATTCAATTCTCTAAATAATTTATCCTATGATCTATAGCGAAATTTTGCTTCGTTTTCGAGCTACAATTAAAAAACCGAAAGGGGTGCATTTTCACCCCTATCTCCAATTTCCACCCTCTAATTTAATAGCATTCCGCGGTTTTTTCATCTAAAATAACCATTTGAACGATTCATGTAATTAAATATCTTGAATGTCATAGTTCCTTTTAAAATCCTATAATCAATAGCCTATAATGTCTTAACACCCTTGCCCAATTAGACAAAACTGTATAAACTCCTTAGATTTAGGAGAAAAAGGAGTTAATTGATAAGAAGGTTTATGATTAAATTTGTTTAGTGATAGTTAACGAAATCATATTTTCATTTTCGATTTAAAAGAAAAAAAAATGTCATGTCTGACGAACTAAGTACCTAATGAGAAAACTTTTGTATATTTTAATAAAAAAGATGGCATATTTGATATGAAAATGTCATTTTTTCTTTCGAAAATGCCAAATTAAAATATCACATTTTTTAAATTATTCTGAAGATATTTGATATAAAATGATGAACCTTGGAAAGTGTTTCTAATTCGAATGTAAAAACGTACATCAGAGATACCGGAAGTCAAAACCATTACAAACCTCAGACATTCGAAGACACAAATTATTTTGAAAATTCAACTACTTTTTCGCGAAACGAATAGTTGTTATATCAGGTTTACTGAATTGCTTAGTAAAGGTAATATAAGTTACAAAAAGTAATAATTCGAAAATGGCCCTTTTTCGAATGAAATCGATATCTTTCTCATGTTAATTAATTAAAATTAAGATTTTATATTAAAAATTTTTGCAAATTCTAACATCCTAGATCGGGATTTCTTCGTAAGGTTAATGTAGATGGTAGTTTCTTTTTCTTTTTATTTTTGGAATTGAGTATATTAACAATACTATAATTGTTATTTATGGTTATAGTAGAATGCAGAACTAATTTGTTTATTACTTCTAACTGGAAAAAAGTTGACATTGCAGCCACAGTTTAGAAATTATAGTAAAACAAAGACACAAGTAGCTCTAGAAGCTGTAATATACTTTAACCTATCGGACTTTTTATCTTGTTTTGACCATTCGAATTTAAATTCCTGAAATAACATAATGTACAACCAAAAATGAAATGGAGATGTTTGTCAAATATTGACTATCTTTTCTTGTTTTCAAGATGAAAGGACTCAAAAGTAATGGTAAACAATATTTCAAAAAATAAAATAAACCAAATAGGTACTTGTTATTCAAACAGAAATCTTAACTTTTCTATTT